ATAAGGTTTTGTTGTAGGGAGAAGTCAGATTGTAAGGTTTTGTTGTAGGGAGAAGTTAGATTATAAGGTTTTATTGTAGGGAGAAGTTAGATTATAAGGTTTTGTTGTAGGGAGAAGTCAGATTGTAAGATTGTGTTGTAGGGAGGAGTTAGATTATAAGGTTGTGTTGTAGGGAGAAGTTAAATACAAAGGTTGTGTTGTAGGGATAAGTTAGATTGTAAGGTTGTGTTGTAGGGAGAGGTTAGATTATAAGGTTGTGTTGTAGGGAGATGTTAGATTGTAAGGTTGTGTTGTAGGGAGAGGTTAGATTATAAGGTTGTGTTGTAGGGAGAAATTAGATTAAAAGGTTGTGTTGTAGGGAGAGGTTAGATTGTCAGGTTGTGTTGTAGGGAGAGGTTAGATTATAAGGTTGTGTTGTAGGGAGATGTTAGATTGTAAGGTTGTGTTGTAGGGAGAGGTTTGATTATAAGGTTGTGTTGTAGGGAGAAATTAGATTATAAGGTTGTGTTGTAGGGAGAAGTTATATTATAAGGTTGTGTTGTAGGGGGAAGTTAGATTATAAGGTTGTGTTGTAGGGAGGAGTTAAATACAAAAGTTGTGTTGTAGGTAGAAGTTAGATTGTAAGGTTGGGTTGTAGGGAGAGGTTAGATTATAAGGTTGTATTGTAGGGAGAAGTTAGATTATAAGGTTGTGTTGTAGGGAGGAGTTAAATACAAAAGTTGTGTTGTAGGTAGAAGTTAGATTGGAAGGTTGTGTTGTAGGGAGAGGGTAGATCATAAGGTTGTGTTGTAGGGAGAGGTTAGATTATAAGGTTGTATTGTAGGGAGAAGTTAGATTATAAGGTTGTGTTGTAGGGAGATGTTAGATTATAAGGTTGTGTTGTAGGGAGAGGTTAGATTATAAGGTTGTGTTTTAGGGAGAGGTTAGATTGTAAGGTTGTGTTGTAGGGAGATGTTAGATCGTAAGGTGGTGTTGTAGGGAGATGTTAGATTGTAAGGTTGTGTTGTAGGGGGAGGTTAGATTATTAGGTTGTGTTGTAGGGGGAAGTTAGATTATAAGGTTGTGTTGTAGGGAGGAGTTAAATACAAAAGTTGTGTTGTAGGTAGAAGTTAGATTGTAAGGATGTGTTGTAGGGAGAGGTTAGATTATAAGGTTGTATTGTAGGGAGAAGTTAGATTATAAGGTTGTGTTGTAGGGAGGAGTTAAATACAAAAGTTGTGTTGTAGGTAGAAGTTAGATTGGAAGGTTGTGTTGTAGGGAGAGGGTAGATCATAAGGTTGTGTTGTAGGGAGAGGTTAGATTGTCAGGTTGTGTTGTAGGGAGAGGTTAGATTATAAGGTTGTGTTTTAGGGAGAGGTTAGATTGTAAGGTTGTGTTGTAGGGGGAGGTTAGATTATTAGGTTGTGTTGTAGGGGGAAGTTAGATTATAAGGTTGTGTTGTAGGGAGGAGTTAAATACAAAAGTTGTGTTGTAGGTAGAAGTTAGATTGGAAGGTTGTGTTGTAGGGAGAGGGTAGATCATAAGGTTGTGTTGTAGGGAGAGGTTAGATTATTAGGTTGTGTTGTAGGGAGAAGTTAGATTATAATGTTGTGTTGTAGGGAGAAATTAGATAAAAAGGTTGTGTTGTAGGGAAAAGTTAGATCATAAGGTTTTGTTGTAGGGAGAAGGCAGATTGTAAGGTTGTGTTGTAGGGAAGAGGTAGATTATAAGGTTGTGTTGTAGGGAGAAGTAGGATTGTAAGGTTGTGTTGTAGGGAGAGGTTAGCTTATTAGGTTGTGTTGTAGGGAGAAGTTAGATTATAAGGTAAGGTTGTGTTGTAGGGAAGAGTTAGATTATAAGGTTGTGTTGTAGGGAGAAGTTAAATACAAAAGTTGTGTTGTAGGTAGAAGTTAGATTGTAAGGTTGTGTTGTAGGGAGAGGTTAGATTATTAGGTTGTGTTGTAGGGAGAAGTTAGATTATAAGGTTGTGTTGTAGGGAGAAATTAGATAAAAAGGTTGTGTTGCAGGGAGAAGTTAGGTTATAAGGTTGTGTTGTAGGGAGAAGTTAGGTTATAAGGTTGTGTTGTAGGGAGAAGTTAGATTATAAGAGTTGTGTTTTAGGGAGAAATTAGATAAAAAGGTTGTGTTGTAGAGAGAAGTTAGGTTATAAGGTTGTGTTGTAGGGAGAGGTTAGATTATAAGGATGTGTTGTAGGGAGAAATTAGATAAAAAGGTTGAGTTGAAGGGAGAAGTTAGGTTATAAGGTTGTGTTGTAGGGCGAGGTTAGATTATAAGGTTGTGTTGTAGGGGGAAGTTAGATTATAAGGTTGTGTTGTGGGGAGAAGTTAGATTATAAGGTTGTATTGTAGGGAGAAGTTAGATTATAAGGATGTGTTGTAGGGAGAAGTTAGATTGTAAGGTTGTGTTGTAGGGGGAAGTTAGATTATAAGGGTGTGTTGTAGGGAGAAATTAGATAAAAAGGTTGAGTTGAAGGGAGAAGTTAGGTTATAAGGTTGTGTTGTAGGGAGAAATTAGATGAAAAGGTTGTGTTGTAGGGAGAAGTTATATTGTAAGGTTGTGTTGTAGGGAAGAGTTAGATTATAAGGTTGTGTTGTAAGGAGAAGTTAGATTATAAGGTTGTGCTGTAGGGAGAAATTAGATAAAAAGGTTGAGTTGAAGGGAGAAGTTAGGTTATAAGGTTGTGTTGTAGGGAGAAGCTAGATTATAAGGTTGTGTTGTAGGGGGAAGTTAGATTATAAGGGTGTGTTGTAGGGAGAAATTAGATAAAAAGGTTGTGTTGTAGGGAGAAGTTAAATAAAAAGGTTGTGTTGTAGGGAGAGGTTAGAATATAAGGTTGTATTGGAGGGAGAAGTTAGATTATAAGGTTGGGTTGTAGGGAGAAATTAGATAAAAAGGTTGAGTTGAAGGGAGAAGTTAGGTTATAAGGTTGTGTTGTAGGGAGAGGTTAGAATATAAGGTTGTATTGGAGGGAGAAGTTAGATTATAAGGTTGGGTTGTAGGGAGAAGTTAGATTATAAGGTTGGGTTGTAGGGAGAAATTAGATAAAAAGGTTGTGTTGTAGGGAGAAGTTAGATTATAAGGTTGTGTTGTAGGGAGAAATTAGATTATAAGGTTGTGTTGTAGGAAGAAGTTAGATTGTGAGGTTGTGTTGTAGGGAGAGGTTAGATTATAAGGTTGTATTGTAGGGAGAAGTTAGATTATAAGGTTGTGTTGTAGGGAGAAGTTAAAATATAAGGTTGTGTTGTAGGGAGGAGTTAGATTATAAGGTTGTGTTGTAGGAGAAGTTAGATTATAAGGTTGTGTTGAAGTAAGAAGTTAGATTGTGAGGTTGTGTCGTAGTGAGAGGTTAGATTATAAGGTTGTATTGTAGGGAGAAGTCAGATTATAAGTTGTGTTGTAGGGACAAGTTAGATTATAAGGTTTTGTTGAAGGGAGAAGTTAGATTATAAGGTTTTGTCGTAGGGAGAAGTTAGATTATAAGGATGTGTTGTAAGGAGAAGTTAGATTGAAAGGTTGTGTTGTAGGGAGATGTTAGATTGGGTTGTGTTGTAGGGAGAAATTAGATTATAAGGTTTTGTTGTAGGGAGAAGTCAGGTTGTAAGGTTTTGTTGTAGGGAGAAGTTAGGTTATAAGGTTGTGTTGTAGGGAGAAATTAGGTTATAAGGATGTGTTGTAGGGAGAAGTTAGATTGTAAGGTTCTGTTGTAGGGAGAAGTTAGATTAGAAGGTTGTGTTGTAGGGAGAAATTAGATAAAAAGGTTGTGTTGTGGGGAGAAGTTAGATTATAAGGTTGTATTGTAGGGAGAAGTTAGATTATAAGGTTTTGTTGTAGGGAGAAGTTAGGTTATAAGGTTGTGTTGTAGGAAGAAGTTAGATTGTGAGGTTGTGTTGTAGTGAGAGGTTAGATTATAAGGTTGTGTTGTAGGGAGAAGTTAGATTATACGGTTGTGTTGTAAGGAGAAGTTAGATTGTAAGGTTGTGTTGTAAGGAGAAGTTAGATTGAAAGGTTGTGTTGTAGGGAGATGTTAGATTGTAAGGTTGTGTTGTAGGGAGAAGTTAGATTATACGGTTGTGTTGTAAGGAGAAGTTAGATTGTAAGGTTGTGTTGTAGGGAGAAAAATAACATTGTAAGGTTGTGTTGTAGGGAGAAACATAACATTGTAAGGTTGTGTTGTAGGGAGAAGTTAGATTGTAAGGTTTTGTTGTAGTGAGAGGTTAGATTATAAGGTTGTGTTGTAGGGAGGAGTTAGATTATAAGGTTGTGTTGTAGGGAGGAGTTAGATTATAAGGTTGTGTTGTAGGGAGAGGTTAGATTGTAAGGTTCTGTTGTAGGGAGAAGTTAGATTGTAAGGTTCTGTTGTAGGGAGAAGTTAGATTGTAAGGTTGTGTTGTAGGGAGAAGTTAGATTATACGGTTGTGTTGTAAGGAGAAGTTAGATTGTAAGGTTGTGTTGTAGGGAGAAGTTAGATTATACGGTTGTGTTGTAAGGAGAAGTTAGATTGTAAGGTTGTGTTGTAAGGAGAAGTTAGATTATAAGGTTTTGTTGTAGGGAGGAGTTAGATTATAAGGTTGTGTTGTAGGGGGAAGTTAGATTATAAGGTTGTGTTGTAGGGGGAAGTTAGATTATAAGGTTGTGTTGTAGGGGGAAGTTAGATTATAAGGTTGTGTTGTAGGGGGAAGTTAGATTATAAGGTTGTGTTGTAGGGGGAAGTTAGATTATAAGGTTGTGTTGTAGGGAGGAGTTAGATTATAAGGTTGTGTTGTAGGGAGAGGTTAGATTATAAGGTTGAGTTGTAGGGAGAAGTTAGATTATAAGGTTGTGCTGTAGGGAGAAGCTAGATTATAAGGTTTTGTTGTAGGGAGAAATTAGATAAAAAGGTTGTGTTGTAGGGAGAAGTTATATTGTAAGGTTGTGTTGTAGGGAAGAGTTAGATTGTAAGGTTGTGGTAGGGAGAAGTTAGATTATAAGGTTGTGTGGTAGGGAGAAGTTAGATTGTAAGGTTTTGTTGTAGGGAGAAGTTAGATTGTAAGGGTTTGTTGTAGGGAGAAGTTAGATTGTAAGGGTTTGTTGTAGGGAGAAGTTAGATTATTGTAGGGAGATGTTAGATTGTAAGGTTGTGTTGTAGGGGGAAAAATAACATTGTAAGGTTGTGTTGCAGGGAGAAACATAACATTGTAAGGTTGTGTTGTAGGGAGAAGTTAGATTATAAGGTTGTGTTGTAGGGAGAAGTTAGATTATAAGGTTTTGTGGTAGGGAGAAGTCAGATTATAAGGTTGTGTTGTAGGGAGAAGTTAGATTATAAAGTTTTGTTGTAGGGAGAAGTCAGATTGTAAGGTTGTGTTGTAGGGAGAAAAATAACATTGTAAGGTTGTGTTGTAGGGAGAAACATAACATTGTAAGGTTGTGTTGTAGGGAGAAGTTAGATGAAGACAAAGAGTTTGAATTGGTGGGAGACATGTCTGAACTACAGGCCAAAGAGGAGGAAGAGACAGAGAAGAAGAGAGAGGAGAACAAAGACGACAACCAGTCAAAGACTAATGGTAACTTGTCTACTTTATGAAAAGTTTCTATTTGACGTTTTGGTGACTAGTACGATATGTACACGTGTCACCTTCATCAGACAAATGACCAGTGAAGCGTATGCACACAAAGGTGTAAAATGTGTACGAGTTGTCCACAAAATATATGTATTCGGCTACCAGTGTTACGTTTTCTTTGTATTACTGATGCTTTCTGTTTCCACTGCCTCCAGTTCAAATTAATTGAACAACAAAATAAGCACATTTATATTTACACTATATTTACAACACAAGTATTTTAATCCGTAATAAAATATATACAAGTCTTCATTATTTTGAACTCAATCTCTCCACTTCAAACTTATCTCCAACTATAAACTATAAACTACACAGATCTCCAAACTTCAGCTAAAAAAACTATTACATTTGTATAACTAACTTCCTAATTCTCACTTTTACTCCAACTTTCTAACTCTCCTCTATATATCTAGATCTCTCAACTCGGTCTACCTAGCTCAATCTCCTTCCTCAAGACTCCTTAAATCCACTCCCCATCCCAACTCTTTTCTCCTCCTTTGACTCCCAAACTGAAATACCTTACTATCTGACCCCTACACGGCTAGGTTAAACTGGCCATAAATCCTGCTAAATTTGACTCCAGATGTCAGCATCAGCTGGAGGCACAAACACTGACATCACAGACTGGACTCCCCCCACCTAGACTACAGACAGGTCACGCTAATCTACAGATCCCAATTTATATCATAAGCACAATTATCTACGACTACTTACATTTTTGTATCTACTATTTCAAATAAAACTTGATCTATTTCAAAATCTTAAACTTCATAATGTTAATTCTGATTCAAAATCTGCTACTCGGACTGAATTATATTTCAGCATCCAACTATTATCAAATTAGCACTTTCAGATGTGAAACCGCATATATTGATTCCTTTAAAAACATAAGTGGCAACAATGTTGGACGGAGTGTAATGAATGAGTTAGGAATATCCAACAGTTAATAAGTATAAAACGGTCATTATCGCAGGAAGTGTACTAAGACAGGATTTCGGCCATTATTCATACATGGTATAATTAAAAACCATTACATTTGTTCATAGATGTGAGTGATGATGAAGACCTGATGGTGGTGGACGAGCCCGAGGAAGTGATCTGCCAGCCAGTGGTCAGTAGAAAGAGAAAGGCTGAGGACGAACTGACCAGCTCAGACACGCCCAAAAAAGTGAAAGTATCCGATGTTCAGGAGGAGGAGGATATTGTGGTTTTGTGAAGAAAACTTTCTCCTTAAATCTCCAGAACAATAAGAAAAGAAAATGAGAGGCAGCAGAACAAAATAGGTGTAAATGGACGTCCCTGTGATTGGTTGTGGTCAATAGAGACTTCTAGGGATCTAGTAATATCAGGGGCAATCGAGAGTTGATCGATAACCAGGACGAATAATTGTTAAACACTTTATTGTATGTCCAACAATTTTACATTCTGTATTATTGGATTACAATTCCATAGATAAAAACATGTTTCTTTTGTGCATCGTAAAACTATATACCGAAATATTGTAACTTGAAATTAACAAAAATAAATTATCATAAAGATCTGCTGAAGAAAAAAATGGTGATAATTGAAATTGGTCTGCACATAATTGATGTGTTAAGTATTAAAATATTCCAAAGTACTAGATAGATGTATAAAACAACGAATACTGGTGTAATGTATATTGTTCTGTTTTTGGTCCTCCTTCAGATTAGTCTTATGAAGGTCGAGGTCTAGTCTCTGAACCTGCCATAGTTTGAATTTTCCATTTATGGAGGACAGATTGTTATTTACCTTTTATAAATGTATCATCCTTTGAAAGTCCTGGGCCTGTATTCATGAAGCCGTTCTCATGCTCGAGCATGGATTTTGTGCTCAAGCCCAATTTCTTGTTCTGGTTATAACTCAATAAATAAAACTTATTTTGTCAATGATTTGGAAACATTTTGAAGAGACTTAAAGCCAAATACTGTTTTCAATGTTTACATTTGACTTTTTGATCGTAGCGAGTTACCAGAAAGTTGGTTTGAGCACAGATTTCATGCTTGAGCATGAGAACAGTTTCATGAATACGGGCCCTGTTTGTTTTAGCTAACAGACCAGTTTGTCAGCTTTTAAATGTAGAATGTTCAAGGATAAAACCTGCCTGACCATATTTCATGAACGATTTACTCTGGTTTAACTGTTCAAAATGCCATAAACGAAAGCAGCTATAGTGTATAGAGGTTTTAACATTTATGTATAAATTGGATATTTGAGTATTTAACATCATTGAAATAATTTTAAAATTTGAATTATTATCTTAGAGTTAAAGACTGTTTTGTTTAAAGTCTACCGGAACATGCGGGTTCAAACACTCTAGACCTCATGGTCGACCAGGATTTATCTTCATGTTTAACCCTTTCACCCCTATGTAACTTAAGTAGACTCTACCATGCATTTATCTGGATGAGTCCATTATGGTCTACAGTGGTGAAAGGGTTAATTGAATTCCTATATTTCTGTGAAAATGCCCATATTTCTGTATGAATGAAAACTGGAACAAGTACCATACTCTGCGATACAAAACCAGTGCTGGGTAATGCCACCTAGAATGTAAGTGCTGATAGCTGCTCTATGGTAGGAACTGTGCGACTCATGTGGACCAAACTGTTTAATGTTGTGTACATGTAGTGCTGTTACGTAACGATGGTGATTCCTGATGTATTGGACACTGTATATTTCATTTATAACATTGTAAATGAATCATTGAGGTCACCATCTGGTGCAATATTTTGATACTACAAAATAAACATAATTTTTTGTATTCCTTTGTTTTGCTTCTTTACACTTTGCTTGGCGTTTTCATCTTTGTTTGTAGGGTGTTTCAAAGAGTTATTTTTATGGTGGTATTGAGGAAATAGTGTTTCTCAATACATATGTTCCTTTTTGTCATCGCTGTACTGACTTAATTTCTGAAAGGATCTTGATCAAATTTCATGTAATGGTAAAGTATGAGAATATAGGTTACATTTGCGTATTCCGGTTGAAACAGGGCAGAAAAACTCCTCGATAAATGAATGCACATAGATTGACAAACTACAGGCAGAGCTAATAAATGCAGTTTCGGAGGCAAATGATCACTCGCTAGGTATCTATCAACTACAGGCCTAATCAAATAAAAAAAACATCACAATACTTTTTCTGTAATTTATTGAACTTGTAAAATATATGTTGTTTCTGTAATGTTCACTAAGTAACAAACAAACCAGTTCACTAGTAATATTCTCCGATACATTTACATTTGTAGCTAATCAAATGGTACGTGTCAACAGTAAATCCTTTACAATGACAGATGGAAATGTACAGCTTTAAGCTCAATAGCCAAATGTAAATAACTGATGTCAATTTCACACCAACAGTTGATCATTTACAATGACCAATTAATCTACAACTTTTACCAGTTGTGATTCTTGTATTAATAATTAACATTCAACACTCCAACACACATTATCTTTGGTATACATGAATTCTGATGAAACCTAGTATAGTCATGAGATAATTTCTGTGATATTCTCATTAGTAAACTGAATTCGATCAAGATTAAGAATGGAATTACACAAAAAAGTGCTGTTGTATGTGTAACTCCATCTTCGCTAGCCATGGATTACGATCCGGTATTATCCGGTCTTCCTACTCTTCAAAGAGTGAAGAGTAGGAAGATTGTACCGGATCGTAACCCTTGGCCAGCGAAGATGGTGAAATTCTCATAATTGCACCAAAATAAAAATCATGATTGTACAGCAATAAAGGACACTAGGTCAAGGTACTAGTAGATAGTGACAGTTGACCTTCAGATTTTTGAATTGTGATAGCTGACCTTCAGTCAATGACTGACCACAGTATCCGTGTACCTTCAATAACTGACCACTAGTAAACAATGACACTTAAAGCATCTGTATATTGCTACAGCTGACAATATCATTTTATCATGATCATCACACACAAGCCAAACCTACATGATAGTTAGTGTAAACTGCAGTTGGCTAAACCATTGTGAAAGTAAGATTTGAGCAGTACTATCAAATTGAACAGTATTAAACATATTAATTAGCACCTTTGTATGACAATATTTCGAATTGTGTTTGTGGTACATGTGTTAAACATACATGATCAATCAAATGCAACAATATTTTGTCCTCATACAACTTACTGAAGCAGTGTTTATACAAATGGAATGTAACCATCTATAATGTTAGAGAGACTAGCAGTGTGTCGGCTATACAGCATCACTGTAACCAATCCAGCAACATATGACAGTGATATGAACAGTTTGTCCGCCATTGACGGCATCACTGTCCCCAACCAAACCGGCAACATGACAGTGATATGAACAGTTTGTCCGCCATTGACGGCATCACCGTCCCCAACCAAACCGGCAACATGATTCAGTTAAATCGTGAGTATGTTTACAATAAGTGTCGCTCAAAGTAGATTTCTTCATAATAAATTTACATATTTATATATTATACAGAAGAATTGATCAAAATCAATAAAAAAAAAGCATTCATATATGTATATTACATGAAGTGTATATGTAAAGACACTTATATCACAGTGTGTTAAAAAGACAAAGTATTTACACAAGTCGTATTTAAGTAGAATTTCATATACAATTTATGATTCATAATAATACACTATTATGATACAAATGTAATCACAAAAATATGTCAGAAAACAAATTGTTATACAAAAGAAAACAGTTTATGATACAAGATGAACTCCATATGATATCAAAGTTTTACTTTATACACAAACAATGTACATTTCAAGACCAACAGAAGATAACCGTCAAGCTATGACTGAATGAGCGATTTGTATTTTTACCTGTACAACGATGTGACGAAATTGTGTATTTTTGTTTGTCACTCAACCCGGGACATTTCGCCTATCGATAGAAAGCATATACACACTGCATCAAATAGGTTACGGGTAGGGTGAAGATCAATTCCACTCTCCTGTTATGTCAGTATGAAAGAAATATACAATTTCATCACATCGTTGTACAGGTGAAAAATACAAATGGCTCACTCGGTCTTAGCTAGACAATATGTGCATTGTTTGTGTATATCCAAAACTGATGAATCTTATTGAAGTTATGTATGAACTCTACATTTTTCCATACATTCAAAGCTACTACACAGCTTGTTGTCATACAACGTACTCATAAAATCTCACAATTATGATTTACACTCATTTAATATATGACATACACGATTGATTAAAAATTACATGATTGAGAAATATACGATCTCCACTTTTTTGTTAAATGGAGATTTGTTCTACCGGTAATTGTGAAAATGCTGTTCCAGTGAAAATCATTATGTAATTGGTAAGTTTAACCTTTTCACCACTGTAGACCACAATGGACTCATCCATACCAATGCATGGCAGAGTCTATTAAAGTTACATAGGGGTGAAAGGGTTAAAAATACTTAGTAATCAACAAACTGGTATAATGTACATAGCGATTCATATTTGGCAAGAGAAGATATAAACAAGAAAACCCTGAAGTTATTAACGTAAAGATAAATTGTCATACATGTACATGAGACAGCATCATTACAGCAGTTTTTCCTGGGATACATATACTTGGTACATGTATAAGCATGAACACAATTGTAGATTGTAATGATTTTTTTTTTTGAGATATTTCATCACATGATTTCAGGTACAGCCTAATTGATGTTATACTGCCACATGACAGTAAAACCATACATTCTAATAAAAATATACAAAAATGGAAAGAACGAACTTTAGTGAGATGAAAAACAGAGAGATGAACCTCATAATTTCTTTTACAGATAACAAAAAATCTTATAATAATTATCGTTATGATCTTATCTTATAATAATTGTCATTATGATCTTATCTTATAATAATTATCATCATGATCTTATCTTATAATAATTATCATTATAATATTATCTTATAATAATTATCATTATGATCTTATCTTATAATAAGTAAACTGACTCTGAGCCCTTGTTGATTTAAATTCAGACTGTGTAAACTGTTCTAACCAGCCCCTCTGTAATCTAGAAACCTGTATAGAACAGACCCCCTTAATAAAATCATGTCTGCTATTAGTAAACCTGAAACCTTTGTTATCTGAAAATCAGTTTGATCTCAAACAGAAGTACTGATACAAATACATCAGGCTTGTACAGCCCAGACATGTACATGGGTGAGCCAGTATTCAGGGACCACGTTTTGGGAGTCAGTGAGCTGTTTTCTCATTACAGTATTGGTTAACCTCAAAAGAACTATTACAGGAGTTTTAAAAGCACTTATTTTCAATACAGGTGGTCTATTTTAGAGGCGGTCTATTTATAGCGGTAGTCCCTAGAACAACGGGGATTTTATAAGATTTTGCTGGATATCTCGTGACTAGCTATCAAACAAATAAATGAGGTGTAGATCAGTGCATCCTTGTAAAGAAGCCTAGAGACTTTATCACACAAAAAACCTTGTTTGAAATACCACAACTGATCCCATGACTTAAATGTTGTGACTCGATGGCACTTGATTATGCAAAAATAATGAACATATGAGATCAGTTTAACCTTTAAGATAATTTACATCAGAAAGTTTTAGACACTTTTAGCTATGTCAATGTCAATAGCTATGTCAATGTCAAAAGCTATGTCAATGTCAAAAGCTATGTCAATGTCAATAGCTATGTCAATATAGCTGTTTTATAGCCAGTTAACTGTCTGATAACGTACACGATTCTTTAACTATACAGTTTACAATCAGTTTCAATAAAGACATCAAATTACATAACTATTTGTGTATTTTGACAACATTTGAAAGTATTTGCTCGAGACAAGCTGCAAAATTACAACGTAACTGTCTGGTTCGCCACCGCCACCGGGACAAAGTTAATCATGTAGTAATCGTGGACGTAGCAGAAGATGGCTATAGGCTGGCCAAGGATGAGCGACAGCCATACGACCATGTTGGCATACTTTCCGTGGATATATTTCTTTACAAATTGTGCCAAGGGGACCTGGTAAAGAACAAGTAATTCATTTCAAAATTACAGATTCTGAAGGATGTCTTAATTGTTAGTGTTTTTAAAGTGAAACTTTGATAATACATACCATATTTCCAAACTGATAATAATATTACTGAATGTTTTAAGCAGACTTTATGTCTAGTGCTACAGTCACTATTACAGTAACATTTATTTTATTAATACTCGGTTATAAAGTGACGATCTATGTCTTTCATCAGGGTTAATGTTAATGAAGTTTTAACATCTTTAAACCCATGAATGTATACATTTTTATTTTTTTGTAGAATTCCATTTTCTGATGAATCATAAAAATTACAAATGTTTTATCCATAAAGTGAACTTACCTGTCCCAGCATGGCGAAAAAAGCCCAGACACGGAACATCTTCAGGGGAACACTTACCAGGTACTGTTAAACACAAGACATTGTACTCAGTGATTTTATCTTAAAAAATACATAATACTCATTGTTTTATTGGAAAAACAAATTTGTTAACACATTAAACAAGAAGACAAACATATTTTTACTACTCCTAACAAAAAGACATTATTTTTTGACATAGTGAAATAGCTTTTATAAAAAAACACTGAAAAATTACTTCGTATATTTACCTCATGAAAAAAAGCAGACATGGCAAAAACCAGAACAGATGCCAGCTGTTTGGAATAACCTCTCTTCACCAAAGGCTTGTACAAATGTCTGCAAGGTAATCAATAAATACCAATAAATACACCAGATACTGTCAAAGCTACATTAAAATGTTAAATAACAGATAATTTCATATTGATTCAGCAGCCAAGGGGATGAACCTGGAACCCTGGTTTACTGACGTACTATAGAGAATTTCTCCCTAGCAGAGTCTGTAAGGAGTGGCTAGTGCTTTACCAGTGTGACAAATGCCCCTTCAGATCAGGAGAGATCTTGTCTGGAGCGTTTTCCAACAGTAACAGAAATGCTTGTGAGAACAAGACAAAGAATTATTTCCTAGACCCCTACATGGACGCTAATGTAACAATACCAATGTAACAGAGATAGTTACTTTTTAACCCTTTCACCACTGTAGATCATAATGGATTCATCCAGATCAATGCATGGTAGAGTTTACTAAAGTTACATAGGGGTGAAAGGGTTAAATGCCTTCATAGGGGTCCAATCAGGTACCTCTAGTTTACTACTCTGCCCCTCCACTGAATGAGCTAAAGGGGATTCTCTCTACCCATTGTGGTAGGAAGTGGATAGTATTTTACAAGGGCGTCACACGTAAAAGGTTGAAGTTGGTATTGAAGCTGAATCTGTTTAAACCAGATTCTCTCCTATATATCTGCATATTTGTTTACGCTGAACTGTCACCATTGACAGTGTATATCAAGTAGATTCTTAATAATGCAGACATTTCTGTAAACCACCCGTGTTGTGTGGTCCCAGGGGTGTCCTATTTATACAGAGTTCACTGTTGTTTGCTAGATGACACAAGATGTTTCCTATTGAACATGAAATGTTTCCTATACTTAGACACAAGGACATAAAATGTTGTTATACCTGACACACCAGCGATGTACTGGAACGTTCCATGTCTGCCAGAACTCTGTTACAGACTCAGCATTCCTTTAAAATATACATAATGTAAAATAATAAATAATAATCATCATAGATATCAAAAAAAATGTAAACTAGACATTATACTCGCCAGGAAATATACACTGGCATTAAATATTGATCAGGAGGGTCTGAAACTGTATTGTTGAACGAAAAAGAAATGAGAAATTTCAGAAAATTCCATAAAATTTAGGTGAAATGTCACAAATTTCAGCAAATAGTAACTCCCACATCAAAACACTGACTATTCTGCATTTCTCCTTCAATATTAATAAATGACATCATCTCATGTTGCTTTTGATGTTTAAAAAATGGCTGACATTAAATGTTGAATACAAAAAAACTATGTTATCAATTTTGCTACACTTCAAATGTTTTATCCAAAATTCTTTTGAAATCAAAAATTCATTAACTAAATTTTTCAAACATTCCAGGAAGCCAACACAACTTACCACCAGTCTTTGTAGAATTCACGGTCACCAAACTTGAGGAGCTCTGCAGACACATTAAGACATGAATGGAAACCCCAGTAGAAAAATATCAACCAAATCAAATGGTTAGGTACCTACAAATACAAAAAAACATGTTCTAATCTTGGTTCAAGGTGTAGAGCCAACGCTGTTTCTGAAGTTTAGGTTTGGTTGGTTCTGTTTATCCCTTACCTGGGTACCACCCAGAATGCAGGTCGATTGGAGAAAAGGGCAAACTAAATATACGAGTCAAGAAGCCCACTGTTCAGGCGTAACCGGTAGACGTTACCTAATAATGAAACTCAACTTATCCCGAACCAGTTACTATTGACTCCTATACTTATGTTCTAATCTTGTTTTAAAATAAATCTGATCTGATTGTGAACTGATCATTTACAACAGAATTAAATGTTACCTCTTGATATCACATAAATCCAATGATTAGCAAGACTGCTTGTCTAATACTCTAATTGGGGTTGAGAATAATGTTTCCAAGATAAATCATGTGACAACAAGCAAATATGAATCTGAGTCTAAGACGGAGGTTTATTAGAAGTTTGTCTACACACCGCCAGTTTGAGTATCCTCTCCAGGACCCGAGACACCTCCATATCCTGTAGTGGTTTCATCGAGTTCTGTACGGTAGGCACAATCCACTGAAACAACATTGTTTAAAACACATCAAATACACACTAGATATTGATGCCTTCACTTTGAATGTTTCATAACTTGTTCATTTACCATTTTTATTTTTTTTTAACTTTTAAACATTTCTGAAAGAAAACTTACATTCGACCGAAAAATAAAATGGCTGTATTTTCTAACTTTGGAATCACAACAACACACAACAGATTTTATTACAACAATAACACACAACCTTTGTATACTTTCAGAAGTAAATTAAGGTACTGCGAAAAATCAAAACCTCTTCAGCTAAACTTTGGTGTCAAAAATGAACAAAGGGCCAAAACTCTCTTTAAAAAAATGGTATTTGGGCAGGAGACCTAATTTCAGTATGCAACTCTCTGCCATTCTAAAACATACTAACATTCTGACAATTTTAGGTGACAGAGCATAATTAGATATAAAATTCACTAGACAAAGCTTCATAATAGCAGGGCATGAAATCCAATTCTAGTACACAAAACTTCAACATTCTGAGAGGAACACGCTTAAAAAGTCAAAATTTGGCAATGGTAGTTGATGGAGTGTATGAAATATTACCCAAACAAAGCGACTTGCAGACTGACTGACAGAGTGCAAACATAGTTTCCTCCTGTAGTGATGATGGGGAACAATAATTAATTCAACCACAATGCTGACAGGTAATTTTCATTTACCAGTGTCTATGTGTGTGTATTACTTATGACAATCAAAATGCTACATACTAATACTGTATTAACTAGAACACCGACAGGTCAGCAAGGACCATGTGCCTGACCATTTATATCCATCGCTGTCAACCCACCCTCTTTAGGAGGGAGAGCTCCCCCATTTCGACCAAAATTTACCAATCCCCCACGAAACTCCCACATTCAAGTCCAAACACACACAATTTCAAACTATATATCCTGTGGTCAAATGATCTCTTATCTACTACAGGGTGTGTGTAATGATCATAACAGGTGTGTCTGAATCAGGGGTGTATAATTTCATATGATAATGTTGTCAAACAGGCAGATTTTGAAAATATTTTAGTCTTGTCAATGTGATAACCAATTTTCAGTTACCAAAGTATATATATAACACTATACAGATGCTATAGAACACTGTATATAGAGTCAAGTTGTATTACCTGTTGGATTAAGCCAAGCATCAACTGTGATAAGAACAGCTGCAATAAAAAAAACATCATCTTAAAACATCAGATCATCATTCAGCAACAGATTAGCTATCAGTGTCATTTAAAGTACTGAAATAACCAAGTAAACATTTTCTGAGATAGCATGACGCGAGATTGTTCCTTATACTGAAAAATATCAAAATACCTACCGCAGAAACAATTCTTTTCACAAATATGGGGTAATTATAATTCCTTAAATTTCTTATATTGATACATAATATAAATAGTAACTAATTAAATATCAAAAGGTAGATAATATGTGTAATCATCAGGATCAGCTGAAGGGTTTTAAAGTAGAAACACAAATATAACCATCAACATACATATAGACTGCTATATCTTTGATAGTGATCTTTTATTACATGAGCTTATTCATGCCATAAACCATTAATTGGAATCTGTGTCATTCCTTCATACTTGGGCCTAAATGAATTAAGTGAATACAGATCTGAACATCTGATAAAGTATGACATGATGTTATCTATTAAAGTTTATATCACTACCATCCTATATGCATACTACTGGCTATGAAACATTATGCCTACATTAATTTGTTTGTTTCCACTTTACCTACCCAAATCATAAAATCATGGGTAGGTAGGTAGGTAGGGAAATTATTATATTTTTCAATTTTGTTTTTATCTATACTGTAAGTAGTAACTTAAAATTCAGAACTTGAAATAACAGAATGCCAGTCAGTACATGTAGTACAAATAAGATTTTTTTTTTTTAAACAATTTACAAAAATATAAAAAAAAATATCTTTCTGGAAAATGTAAATGAAATATTTTGGGTAGGGGATATTTTGGTGGGTAGGTAGGTTAAGGTGTAACAAACAATATTTTATTTTGGACCTGACATTGTGAACACTCTAGATACATTGCAAAGATGTAGAGTAGTTTAATGGTGAACCAAACAAATAAATAAACCTTACCATTTCCAAACAACGTTTGATGAGGAAGCGTTTCCTGATCCTCAGAGAACGAGGGAAGTTCAACTCATAACACAGTGTCGGGGCAAGCATGAAATACCACAGGTCTGTAAAGTATATAAACATGTACATACTATCATCTTGGTATTGTTTAACGTATTGCAATTCTGATTCATTCATGTGACCTTGACCAATTAACAGGTTACATTTACAGGTGTCCGTGACCTTCAGATACTCCTGACCTTGGCAACAGTCATACATAAGTGTCATTCAGCTATAAAATCACAGATATCCTTGACCTTCACAACAAATATGCATGACCTTGTTCACCTGACTGTAATGTTGTACTAACCAATATGTATGAGGCTGTAATGTTGTATTTACCACTATGTGGGAGGCTACTTCCCACTATGTGTGAGGTTGTAGTTACCACTATGTGTGAGGTTGTAATGTTGTTTTTACCACTATGTGTGAGGTTGTAATGTTGTACTTACCACTATGTGTGAGGTTGTAGTTACCACTATGTGTGAGGTTGTAATGTTGTATTTACCACTATGTGTGAGGTTGTAATGTTGTACTTACCACTATGTGTGAGGTTGTACTTACCACTATGTGTGAGGTTGTAATGTTGTACTTACCACTATGTGTGAGGTTGTACTTACCACTATGTGTGAGGTTGTAATGTTGTACTTACCACTATGTGTGAGGTTGTACTTACCACTATGTGTGAGGTTGTAATGTTGTACTTACCACTATGTGTGAGGTTGTACTTACCACTATGTGTGAGGTTGTAATGTTGTACTTACCACTATGTGTGAGGTTGTACTTACCACTATGTGTGAGGTTGTAATGTTGTACTTACCACTATGTGTGAGGTTGTACTTACCACTATGTGTGAGGTTGTAATGTTGTACTTACCACTATGTGTGAGGTTGTACTTACCACTATGTGTGAGGTTGTAATGTTGTACTGACCACTGTGTGCGAGGCTATACTTACCACTATGTGTGAGGTTGTCGGGGTAGGTAGTGATGATGGCTGCGACCTGTCCATTAGCACTACTCTCTGTAGATAAAACACAGCATTGTTACCAAACCAGTGATACACTGAACCTCCATACAAAGAACAATACCCTAAATGACCGGTATTTGTCTGGACATCAATGTGCTGGTACAGATCCTGATGATCGAGACAAGTTATATCCGACCTTTAAAGATGGTCTTAAATGATTGTATTCATGGGTTTTTTTATGTAGGGGAAGTTCTTTGTCAAACTATGACTTACTGGCATTTTAATTATGTTCTCACCATACTTTTATTCAAGATGATCTTTCCAACATGAGGTTGGTGTGGAAAAGGAAGGAAGGAATGAAAGAAGTCAGAAATGTGTGATGATATGTAAAATTCAATACAAAACTTTTTCCATTCTCATTCTACTGAAGATTTTAATCCAGGAGAACAGGGTGTCAGCTAGCTAGACTAGTTTATTGTGTTACATGTGTGGGCTAAACACACTTAAAGTATCAGATCTGGACCATGCGAACTGCTCCAGTAATCTGAGAAAGACACTTGTAGGTAAGCGACAACTTACTTGGACTTTCTGAAATAGACCTGCTTCTTCGCACTTTCTTTGTGTCCCCTCCCTTTCTCTGACGGCACCATTTATTTACGCTGGCATAGGACACAAGTTTGAGGAATGATATAGTGCAGATGCCACATGTTACAGAAGAAAAGGCTACAACATAAACACAAGTAACAAATTATTCAAACAATATCGATATGAAAATCAGATCTTAACAGAAATAATTTGCTAACAGAGACTTGTCTACATCCAATGGTCTACGTATACTACAGAGGCAGAAATACCATGGTATGATTTACCATTAACATCACATGGTGGACAAGAGATATCATATGGTTTACCATTAACATCACATGGTGGACAACAGAGATCACAGGGTCTACCATTAACATCACATGGTCTACTACATATACCATGGAATGGTTTACCATTAACATCACATGGTGGACAAGAGATATCATATGGTTTACCATTAACATCATATGGTGGACAACAGAGATCACAGGGTCTACCATTAACATCACATGGTCTACTACATATACCATGGAATGGTTTACCATTAACATCACATGGTAAACAATAAACATCACATGGTCTACCATTAACATCACATGGTTTACTAGACATACCTGGGAATGGGTGGAGGTAGAGGATCACAGCAGCAGGAATAATCAGCAGCAGACTTAGATTGATGGCGTGTACAAGAAAACCAAACCTCTCGGACACATAGCCCTGAAATGTACAACACACAATAGGCATTTCTGAATAGAACGTTTGTTATCATGTGAGTGTTCATATCTTGACAATAACACAATACAGAATTGTGTGACATTGTTACCTCTCAAGTGGTAGTAAAAGATAACTCTCATAAACTATCTTCTTTAATAACTTGACTGAATTTTCTCAAGGTTATATTTAATAAAATTGATGTTAAAGTTTGGTTTGGTTTATAGTGTTAAGGGCCCTATAGCTAAGGTCATTTAAGGATGTACCTCCATGCGTGTTATGTACACAATTGTGCTGGAAGCAGCTCAGTATGTTGGTATATTTGCGTCCTTTGGATACTTTGGTCACGATACCAAATTTGGATTCTACCTCATTGATAGAACATGCCAAAGGCAGCCAGCACAGTACTCCTCCTAGTTATGACGTACTAACAACAGGTTAAACCTAGTTATAATGTACTAACAACAGGTTAAACCTAGTTATAACGTACTACCAACAGGTTAAACCTAGTTATAACATACTAACAACAGTTTAAACCTAGTTATAACGTACTAACAACAGGTTAAACCTAGATATAACGTACTAACTACAGGTTAAACCTAGTTATAACGTACTAACAACAGGTTAAACCTAGCTATAACGTACAAACAACAGGTTAAACCTAGTTATAATGTACTAACAACAGGTTTAACCTAGTTATAACGTACTAACAACAGGTTAAACCTAGTTATAACATACTAACAACAGGTTAAACCTAGTTATAGCGTACTAACAACAAGTTAAACCTAGTTATAACGTACTAACAACAGGTTAAACCTAGTTATAATGTACTAACAACAGGATAAACCTAGTTATAACGTACTAACAACAGGTTAAACCTAGTTATAACATACTAACAACAGGTTAAACCTAGTTATAGCGTACTAACAACAAGTTAAACCTAGTTATAACGTACTAACAACAGGTTAAACCTAGTTATAATGTACTAACAACAGGATAAACCTAGTTATAATGTACTAACAACAGGTTAAGCCTAGTTATAATGTACTAACAACAGGTTAAACCTAGTTATAATGTACTAACTACAGATTAAACCTAGTTATAATGTACTAACAACAGATTAAACCTAGATATAATGTACTAACAACAGATTAAACCTAGTTATAATGTACTAACAGGTTAAGCCTAGTTATAATGTACTAACAACAGGTTAAACCTAGTTATAATTTACTAACAACAGGTTAAACCTAGTTATAATGTACTAACAACAGGTTAAAAGTAGTTATAATGTACTAACAACAGGTTAAACCTAGTTATAATGTACTAACAACAGGTTAAGCGTAGTGATAATGTACTAACAACAGGTTAAACCTAGTTTTAATGTACTAACAACAGGTTAAGCCAGTTGTGCTAACCTTAAATGCTAATTGCATAGCAGTGAAAACAGCTGCCATTATTAAGGATAAGTCCAAGCTTTATCTAAACAAGAGGCCCATGGGCCTTAACGGTCACCTGATATATTTATACAGAGAGTTGATTTTGTTTTTAACATTAACAGAAATATTATTCAAAGTGACAAAAAACAATAAAACCACCTTATCGAATTCAATATCTAGCATAGATTTCAGACTAAAAAGTATTTGAAACTAGCACCTCTGATTCTAAACAAGGAAAATGAAGAAGTTTTAGCACACTGACTCCTTTTGGCCCCACCCTACAGCCCTTGGGGGTAGGGCTGGCTCAAAATTTTCAAAGTATCAAACTGTCAACTCAAGGTTATAATTCCAATCAAGTTATTAACATGTAATATTCAAAGTATCATTTGCCATTATAAACCATAATAAATTTTGCCCCCCCCCCCCCTCCTTCCCCAGGGGGTAAACGTGAGACCCTAGGGTCATAAACCTTAAGACCCTTCCATCTATGAAGAGTGTTTGATTATACCATATCTGGGTCTTTGAGAAGAAGATTTTTGAAATTTCAGTCAATTCAACCCTTTTTGGCCCCATCCCTCAGGCCCCTGGGGGCTTGGGACCTTTTGTTGACCTTTGTCCATGGAAGGTTCCTGCAAAATTTCATTGAAATTGGTTCAGGGGTGTTGGAGAAGAAGTCGAAAATGTAAATTGTTTACGGACACACGACGGACGCCGCCGGACAAAAGGCAATCGCAATAAGTCACTTTGTCTCAGGTGACCTAAAAACCCAGATATAAATCATTATCTGCAACAAACAATAGTTCTCTTAACTGATAACAAAGTAACACATTCATTTTTTAATTTCCCTATAAATATTTTTATTTCATTAAATTTTCTGATAGCAGTATTATATTTCTGTAATCTTTTATCTTTGTATGTATTAGATATACATACCAGCAGTCTCCTATTTCTGTACCACTAACACAGTAGTGTTGTATCAGTGTATTAATCACAGCTATATATAGTGACACCAGACAACCATCACTCCTTGCTGTTACTACATAGATTACAAGATACAAGATTAGTACTTAGGATAACACCTTCGTACCGAGCTCATCCTCAATATCCAGGGGTTACGCTCACTTTTGCTCTCTCCACCCCTGGAATATGTCATAGCAAAATTGAAGGTTCGGTGTGCGCCACCTTGTTGATGAGACAAGAAGACTAGTTCGACCCTTTGATATACATCAAAAGAATCTTGCGGTCACTTAACGGTAAAAATTGAAGTCGGGCGTCTCTCCTTTGTAATCTTCTAAGGACAGGTATCAGCCTAGCGATTGGACAGGTTTTTTTTACCTATCACACAGCTATCTTCATGCCTTTAATTTTGCTATGACTAATTCCAGGGGTGTAGAGAGCAAATGTGAGCGTAACCTCTGGATATCGAGGATGTACCGAGCTTTGCCAGATAAGATCAATAAGATATACTATGTATACACTTTATATTGATTATGCATGGCTTTCAAAATAAGTTTTTAATCCAAACCTGGATTTGTTATGAGTTACAAAAAAATATGCAAGTCAATTCTGAATGAAACTTTTGGACACAGCAGCTTTCATGTAACATTACACAACCAATTCACTCCTTAAAGAGTTGTTCTGGACGGCTTACCTTACGCCATGTTACGCCACTGATGCTACTGCTGACAGATATAGATTATACCTGTCAGTTTCTATTTATTCTATACCTCACAAACACAGGATAAATATTTCCCTTTTCTGATCAAAACATGACTGTGATTTTGATGTCATTTTTATTATCTGCAAATAGGTCAAATACAAAAATTCATATAGATGCATACATGCATCCATACAAACAGTAGATTACTTATTGCATATTGTATACGGAAGGACAAAATAAGATTCTTGCCGAGTACAGGCAAAATCCTGCTGAGTACAGACTATCTATATGGTCGGAGTCTTATGATATTATTACTGACGCACAGTTTGGTTTTCGTCCTGGTCTTAGCACTGTTGATGCCGTTTTCGCTCTGCATTCAGTTATTACAAAATCTTTTAGTGAAAATAAACGTCTATATTGTTGTTTCGTGGATTTTAGAAAGGCGTTCGACTACGTTGATAGGATCAACTTGTGGTATAAGTTATCGAAGTTGGGAGTAAGAGGGAAGCTGCTGCAAGTCATCAAGTCTATATATAATCATGTTAGGTCTTGTGTGAAATTCAAAGGCTGCTTATCAGACTTTTTTGATAATGATATCGGATTATTGCAAGGGGAAATTCTGTCTCCGATACTTTTTTCCATGTATGTGAATGATTTTGAATCGTTTTTTATCTCGAATTGTAGTAGCTATTATACCTTTGGAGAATTAAGCTTATTTCTTATGCTATACGCAGACGATTTAGTGTTGTTATCGGAGACGGTTGAGGGTTTACAGGAACTGTTGGATAATCTCGCTAGTTATTCTGAGAAATGGAAATTAACTGTCAATATTGATAAGACAAAAATTGTGGTTTTTCGAAAAGGCGGGAAAGTTCGAAATAATGAAATTTGGTTTTATAATGGCAAAACGGTTAGTTGTGTTGATCAATTTACATACCTAGGTGTGCAATTTAAGTTTAACAATAAGTTCAATAGTATTCAGAAACAATTAGCTGACCAAGGTCGTAAAGCTATGTTTGCTTTATTATCAAAATGCTCCAATCTTAGTCTTAATTTTAAGACCATGTTACATTTGTTCGATACATATGTTATTAGCATATTAAGTTACGCATGTGAAGTATGGGGATCCATAAAAGGAATAGACATTGAGAATGTGCACTTGAATTTCTGTAAGAGACTCCTCAAAGTTAAAAAATCCACATGTAATGCAATGGTATATTTCGAACTTGGTCGCTTGCCTTTAGAATGTATCAGAAAATACAGAATCATTAAGTATTGGTTTAAGTTACTCGACTCGAAAAATTGTATTCTGAACTGTGCATATTCTTTTTTATCAAAACAGATTACATGTACTTGCTTTAACTGGGTACACCATGTAAAAAATGAATTATTTGCTTTGGGCTTTGGTGATGTATGGTTAAGCCAATCGTCGACTAATGTTAAATTAATTTTACCGCTTATTCGTCAAAGAATTTTTGACCAAGGCCAACAACATTTAAGAGGTTTACTAGAGACTTCCTCTAAGTGTTTTTTATACAAGTGTATCGTAGACCACTTTTCCATTCAGTATTATTTAACCAAATATATTCCTAAGAATTATAGAATTAGTCTAACAAAGTTACGAATGTCTGCACATTCATTAGCAATCGAGACCGGTAGATATCGCAACGTTATTCGAGAACAGAGATATTGTACGAACTGTAATTCGGCTACAGAAGTCGAAGATGAATACCATTTTATTCTGATATGTAAAACCTACCAAAACTTAAGAAGTCGCCTTATTAAAAAGTACTACTGGAAAAAGCCATCCATGTTTAAATTTATACAATTATTGTGTGTTAACAATACTAAGGAATTATGTCAACTTGGTAAATATATTTTTGAAGCTAATAAGTTAAGAATCTAATTTATTTACTCCACTCTCTCACTGTATATTGTGAGCCGTGTTATTGTGTATATTATGCATTGTATTGATATGTTTGTACTGATGGGCCGTAAGGCCGAAAGTTAATAAATGAATTGAATTGAATCTATAGCCGTCCCTGTGGTGATGAGGTGACAGTTATTATCAGGTAGACAAAGTCACCTGAGGTAAGCACACTAGGCCCACACTAGGCCATTGACACCCTGATTACAATAATTACTTTGATACACAGCTCATGGTCAACTATAAGTTTTCAATGAAAATAAAATTTATCAGATAAAACACTGGTTTTTACCTTGGCTAGCAAGCACTCCATGTAGTAGGCTACTAGTGTAAATATTCCGGCACCTGGAAAAAAAATTCATAAAGAAATACTGAAAAATGTACACATCTGTTTCTTAATCATCTATTTGGAATACATACACATGTACAGAACAAATATTTCTAAACTACCGGTATTTGAAAATTTCCAAAGTTTAGACTTTCTCAAAATCTGTTTCTCCACTCTCTGTTTATAGTGATGGACTCATGGTACCAGTATATTGGAGACATAGCTTCTGTACACTTTAACTCATTCACCCCTGAAATTTCATAAATAACTATTCCAACCTTTGAATTGGAAGAGTTCAAATGCGTCTTCAGGGGTGAATGAGTTAAATACTGTACTATGTATGTTGTAACATAAGACGGGATGATAAGGATAGTGTAAATGTGTTCCAATATTTAATAATATTTTGTAGAATAAATATTTTTTCAATTTTAACAGTGTACATTTATTATAAATCACAGTCTGTACACATCTCAGTTTTTCATTAAATACAGAAACAAGTTGATATTTATTTTCTCTTTTGATATTGATTGACTCTCAACAGATGTAAATAATTGTTGTTTTCTTACACAAATCTTTTAAAAGATTCTCTACAACTGACACAGATGTGGTCACTGGAAAAGCTTTACTTACTAAAAACCAGACAGATGTTTGGCCAGCTGTAGGGCTGAGACAGGAATACATGAATAACCTTCACAGGGTCGATCAGAATCCCATATCTGTGAAGAACATATAAAAACGATTAAAGACAGAGTTACATTTTCAATTAAAAACAGAGTTACATTTTCAATTAAAAACAGTTACATTTTCAATTAAAAACAGAGTTACATTTTCAATTAAAAACAAATTAACTTGTGTAACTATATATAATAACTGTTCGGCCACTTTTAACAATACATTGTAATTCAGTAATGGCAGTGCATGATGGACAATTTCATTAAGTTATTTTAATTGGTTGTAAGTGCAGAAACAAGAGCTGAGACAGTATCTCTGTTTGGAAATTGTTTCTTTGAGCATGGTACATTGATGGTCTTAACATAAAAGTAAGTCACGAGTGAACGAAATAACAATGATGCATCACCACAAACTTGAGCTAGCTTTCATCGATGCCACATCAGCAATTCAGCAATAAACATACAAGATCAAATATAATGTTTACAATGTAATTTTCTCTCAAGCAATTTAAGTCTCATATGAAGTGAATGCCATTGATCTTACTTTAAAATGTTTTCCAGGAAGAGTCTTGTATTTGCCAAAACCTGTAAATAAAATAGGTATATATTCAGCTGTACACCATACCAATACAAGCATAAAACAACTCTCCTTAGAAGGGTCTTGTTAGCTTTTATTTGGGGCCTTGTGAATTTCCAGACACGTCTCCTTCTGGTATCCAGTCTGTCAGTGATTTGGGAAGCAGTTCTCTACTTTTATTTCTACACACATTTAAACTTGCTAAACAGCTTTTTCACTTTCCAGACACATTCAACTTAACATTTATAGATTGGTTTCTTCACCTTTTACAGTCACGTCGAGTGAAGACCAATGTTAGCGAAGATTGTTCATGAAGAAGCTATAGCAATCTGGACAATTTAAAAAGACCTGCCAAGCGTCAAACAATACCTTCTTCAATCTGATAAAGTGAATTAAAAGTGATTGATTTTTTGCCAAAATGCGTTTTTACGGATGAAAGTCTGCTCATCAAAACAATGTGATAATGTATTTATTTATGGTGATTAAGTACAAGAACAGTGGGACATACAACGATATACCCTAAAAACTTGTGTAATTTTTGCACCTACATAATTTGCGCAGGTACTTGTTTGGGCAGTAATGCTGAAAATATATCCTACTTAATATCCAACTTGCATTTTTTGCACACCTTAAGTATACCTTAAAAAGTGATAAAGATGTCGGCTGTCAACGATCAGCTTGTACTCTACATATCAAGTCCCTATGTACAAATATGATGTCTTATTTGAAGTAATAAGCTTCTTTTTAATTTAAGGGCCTCACAACTATAGAATGTTAAATGTGTTTACTGTTTTAAAGAAGTGTCTGTTGAAGGGTTCAAGGGCACTACCACGCGTACTGTTAACAGATTCCATGGCTTACATAACGTTCAAGTTCAACATGATACCATGAATGAATTTTATGCAGCCCAGAAGTTCAATGTCAACTCCGGTTAAAATAAGTATGAACATGATTCATTGTTAACATAAAAGTGTACAAATATAACGACTTAATCTCTTATTAATAACAACTCTGTTCCTAGGTAACAATTGCATGTTCCAGAACACTGATACAGAAAAGAAATATTTCAGTCAGAGTTTTTTTTAAGTGCCAGTAATTTGTAAATGTTATTAGTTGAGGTAGTAACAAGCTAACAGTACATATTTTGGGAGTCTACACACTTAACAGATTATACACAGGGAAGGGTAACGTCCAGGTAAGCTTCCTCACACATGTCAATACACCATTATTTATGTATACACACGACCTTTGCCTTAGCACTGCCATTCAAGGTCGACCTTTGCCTTAGCACTGCCATTCAAGGTCGTATATAATCAGCTCTGATTTAAACTTCAGCATTCCCAAAATAGTTATTAGTTACACATTGTGTCCTCACTAACGGTACCCTGATAGGCCAGTCACTGGAACAACCATATGATAATTAGTGGCAGCTCAACTAAGAAGACTTGATTGTATAATAAAGTATATATACCAAAGACATACTGCAATTTCTTGTTGAGATAAAGTCAGTTGGTACTGTTGGGTGTTAATGTTTTATATTTGTAGGTCATTAATCCTTCAGATTAAACATTAATTGCACTATGAGTAAAAAACAAAAGAAAATGTTGAATTTTAATGTTTAATTACCGTACTTAAAAAGAAAGCCAACAGATTCAGTGATTATGATGGGGATAAGTAATGAAGAAAATGGAAGGGTTGGATTGATCAGCAACGTATTAACAATGATTTATATCTAAGCAAGATCGGTAAAACAACACTGGTCTTAGAGGAGATAGTTTCCTGATTAGACAGAGTACGTTGATATGCTCTATGAGAGAAAATGCTTGACCAATTACCAAAGCTGGTATAGACAGGGATTAAGATTAGATGGGGATTGATTTAGACAGGTTGCACTGTATAACAAATTAACCCTATAATGAAATACTGTCTGAAGTACCATGGGAACCCCAGGTTCATTATTAACTTGCTTTGCTGTACATTACTTACATCTGACTTGCTGAAATAGGACTGAGATTATCCTCAGATTTAGATAACAGAGAGTTGCTGGAAATGATGTTGTTTTGAGATATTTTATGATCAAATTCCTAAACTACAATGCACCTATTTTTTTTAGTACATAATGTATTAAAATTAATGTGACACATAACTTCAGACCTCAGTTTCCTTGTTGCAACTTGCACCCTTTCTCTTTCCATTACAAAAATGTGTTTATTATTTATACAGAAATGAGCAGGTCCAGTACACTCTGTCGATTGAGCTATATTGCTATAAAGACCAATATAGCTTGTTCACCTATAAATTATAGCTGTATTGAGCTATATTTTTTAATATTTAAATTTCATTAAATTAAAGCAAAGTCGCATAAAACAATAAGGTTTATGGTAATGTTGACTACAAAAAGCATACATTTAGATGTTTATTTTCATTTTTCATAAATGTAAAATTTCTGATTTTTTTTCGCCTCATTATTTTTTAAAAAGAATCCTCATATTTCATGTCTTTTGTTATCAACCTAATGATAAAAACTTCTTTTAATAGCGACTTTGTTTCGTTTTCCTTAAAAAAGAAAATAACATGAAAATAGCTCAAAAGACCTATTTCAGATAGGTCACCACTCAATATAGCTATTATAGGCCTTTACAGCTATATATAGCTCAATAGGCAGAGTGTACTGGACCTGATGAGGGTTAAGTTGAAGGGAACTTACCAGCAGTAGGATACAGAGATTGAGGAGTCCACGGTAGTTGGTAAAGCCACTGGCTGTGCTGAACAGGGAGTCAGCATGTCTGTGGATGCTACAGGGGTAAACAAAACAACATTATACAGATCATCACCTTTTTCATTTATTTGATTTGTACCATATGTAAATTTCCAATTGAGATGAAATGACACGATACAATTTGGGCAGCAGACTTCATCAACTTGGCATACTATTGCTTCGTGTGTTGTTTTTACATGTTAATTGCTAACTCAGACTAACTGTTCACCGACGTGTCCACGTTGACAGGATGTTTACAGTAATGTTAGTAGAACGAGGAATAGTGATAAAGATAGTGCCATCGCTGGGGCTCAAACCCGCGCCCCATGGCTCTCCAGCGTGATGCTCTACCGCCGAGTTAAAAGAAGTTCCCTACAGCTGAGGCTTGTAAGGCAACCTTATCAATGCACATCTTTTACATTTATCCTCTAACCTTACGGGATATGTGGGGAGCTTCAGTACATCGTCCCAAGCGAGAGGATTTTCCCAATCTGATTCACAAAAGATTATTTCATTTCATATTGATGGCATCTGTCAATCTGAATACAACCTGGGATTGGAAAATTATATTATTAATTTACTATATTTTTAATTTCCAATTAGAATTGGAATGAATTTGAGGGTGCACATATACATGACGGTACAATGGATTATGAACAGTGTTTATCAGCACATATACCTGTATGTACTTTATTTATTCATTTATTCAAGATGCATAGTTCATATAGTTCATATAGCGATGACGCCGATTGAAAGCTACAAGCTTCTTATGGCGCGTTTGAATATATGTTAAAAAATACTTGTTAAAAACACTTTTCACTTCTGGTGCGTATAGATAGACCTACTAAAGAGATCAAGCAACAGGTAAATAAACAATACTTAGGCCAAAGGGATTGAACATACATAAAAAGAAGTAAAAAACATAGAAGGGTGAATCTGCTCGAGAATGCACCACACTCACCGATCTTTTCCAGTTTTATCTTTACAATCCATTGTATATTCAGGTTCATCTAGAATGTCCGATAACCAAATTGGCATAAAACGTCTGAATTTATCTGGTGAATACAAAGTGCCTTTACTGTTTCTACTCTGTTCACTGCTTGTGCTAATGTCAGAATACGCAGAGTCACTTGAATGATTTCGCGGTCTATTCCTTCTCTGATTTAACTTGCATTTATTGCAACAGTCAGTTTCCTCATCATTTTCTGATTCGAAAAGTGAGTCATTTTTGGAAAATAACTTTTCTGTCTTTTCATAATTTTCCTTCTCCGAGTTATGGTTTGTAATTTTGCCTTCAGATTCCATGAAGCAAGTCTTTCTACTGACTTTGAAATCTTCAGGATGTGTTGCCATGGGAACAGAAGCCTCATCAATGACAGTGTCACCCAAATCTCCTTCAATCAACATGTTGGTGTCCTTTGTAAATATTCACGAAGAAATATAGAAGTGGTTTTCGATCAACACCAACACAAATCCAAATACATGCTATACTGAAAATACTGAATTAATTATCAGTGTTATCAAATAACAATTTGAACACAATTTGACTGTTACAGTACCACTGTCCCTTGTCGCTATGAGCACTGTCCATCCAATGTGACAGCTTTTATATGATCTCAATAGGCCGGTTCGTGCAGAACATTGCAGCATGCTTCCAGCTCATGCTATTTCTGGCACAGGTAGGTTCAGGTAGACTAAAATCATTCAACCGTAGGAATCAATGTGCAACCCTATTGCCTCTTACTGGCATCACCTCAATATGTAAACACTCCGTTCACGTGTGGTAAAACGGTTAGCCAATGAAATAGCGACATAAATATATACACAAAACACACTAAACGTTACGATAGATCACGAGGACCACTCATGAACACTCACTTTCAATGTGAGTCTGCTATACATCGATCAGAGAAACAAACTTGGAAATAAACTCACGGTTTATCTGGTTGATTCGATCTTTCTTTTACTTCATTTTTATTCATATCCTCTACTTGGTTACAACTAATTGTCCGGCGCATTCTCGTCTTTGGACTTGCCATCTTGTCCCCGGAAGTAAGTGGCCTGTAAACAAATCGCTTCAAACATACAAAAATAAACTCTCAAAAATATTATTGTTGGATGCTTTCCTTGATCACAAACGACGCCAGATTGAACGTTAAAATTCAATTTTTAAATTTAATATTAACAGTCTTACATTCTATAGGTAAAATATAAAAATTACAAATGAAAAAATATATAATTGTAATTGTTTTTATCGATATAAGCGACAAGCTGTCTGCTACGAAGCCATGTAACGTAAACGTTCCATTAGAAAATATGACAAATCAAGTAAATTAACTGTACTTTAGTCAGATATGTTTAACTCTCTTCATTGGAATGGGTACATTAGACAGCACCGACACCAAGCATGACGCTGATAAAAAGACAGAAGACGATGGCTGTAAATGTAAGATAAATTATCAGTAACAGTACTGTGTAACCCCAGTCATCCAGGCGTTGGTCAGCTGTCAGAGCATGCAGCTGACACGATCTCCCGAGTCATTTGCCACATGACGTTTAACTGAAGTTATAATTTAGTAATATCTTAACTGTGGGAGGCAGTGGGTCTGTTTTAGATCTCGACCATGATTTGTTCTTCTTTCTGCCACACATTGAGAAGCCGGGAAGTCTTAATTAATTTACACTCTATAAAAAACTCTGAAAACTAGAGAAGGCCTATATACTAAACCATATGTTCGTTGGTAAATGTAGCAGATTTTATTAGCTGCTACCGAACATTTCAATTTTGAATGAATCTGAAATTGATTTCGGATGAGAATCTAACAATAACATTGGCTATAGCTAATTACAATAATTTTGTATCCTGGTGGCAAAGATTTGGATCTAAGCACAAAAAAAATCTTACCATGAACGTTAAAAATTCTAGGTGTCACTACAACTGTAAGAATTTGTCCCTTTACAAAGCAGGGTAGCAGATAACTAGATCTATAGTCATTTAGATGGATGTCTAATATTTACAACTACAAGTCAAATTTCTGCTAAATCTGTGTGTTTTTTTAATTTAATAATATAATGTAGATTTTGGATGCAACAAATAAATTGCAGAAAAGAATAAAGGTTTTTGAACACCTATGATTTTTTTCCTCAATATAAACACAACTTCTGTCTGCTCTTCTCTTTGACCAAGCTAAGCATCCCCATCAGCGTAAGATGACAGCTACACTCATTAACAAAATCTGTTGTTGGAATCTGCTACACTGTGTATACTTATTTCGTACCTTGATAATGTTTGTAAAGAAACCCTGGGAATGTTTAAATATAGTTCCACTTACTCAAAGTAAAAACTGCTTTTGTAAATAGCTTTCAACAGACGCCACAAAATCAAGCTCATCCAAAAAGCTATGGATGCTAGCCCAGTTGACACCAGGCAGCTCAAGAACCTTGCAATCATGTGGGGAGGACTTCTCAGTGATGATATCCGTAAAAAGGCGTGGCCAAAACTTTTGGGCGTAGATGTGGATAACATTCCACCAAAGCCAGGTAACCTTTCCAGTGTAATATTTTACTGTGGGAACTGTCCAAGTTTTACTATTCCCATATATGCCAAGTATTGAAAGACAAGGATTTTCGTATAATATTTTCTGAGACAATATCTTGATTGAACTGTATTTAATTATAAATCATACCATAGTTTTAATAGATTTAGACAGAATAAACTTTGTAATGTCACTTGATTCCTTGAAGATTATTGAAATCTTATTTAGTTTCATTCCAGACAGATCAATATTTTCTGTATGTAGAGGTGTACAATTCCATAAGCCCAGCTCCAAGAGCTACTGATTTTTTTAACATTTTACTATGAAAATATAGGTCAGGCAATTAGAATATTCAAAATCAACACGGAGGCAAGTACTCTAAATATGAAATTGTATACCATTGGCATGTCAATGTTTATTAATGAAACAAAATCACATCTTAAGACACTGGTTCCTAAATCACTGTGGGGAATGATTATATTTCTCCCATCCAGAATTATTGATGTTGTTAGAATACTTTCTGTTAAATGTGCCAAGCTATAACATTATGTGATCTTATTGTAATTTTTGTTGTCATTGTGATATCATAATGCTACCTGTTCTCAGAGAGATAAATAGAAAAATATGTCCTCAATGTGGAAAACCCTGTTCACTGAGGTGAATGTATTTAAAAAAAATGTTAATTGTTTTACCAAAGAGTGTAGTTTTTGTATATCAAAATTACAGGAAGTGAAATATATGACCACTGAGTATCATTGTGTTCATTTTATTGCCAGACAAGAAAATACTGAAAATATCTTAATCAAACTTCAAGTATACCTGCATCACCCACAGAAGGTGTGAAGTGTACTAGAATTAGGTCACATGCCCCACTATATACAGAGTTATGGCCCTTTGTTTATTTTAAATAGTTTGTCGGGAGCATAAGTACCATGTTATTTCACCTACTTATGAACTTACTAATAATAAACAAATTACAAAAATCCAAAGAATCCCAAGTGGTTTTTTTTTCCATTTTTTTTTTTTTTGGTGCACAAAATACTCGAGTAGAAGCTTTTGTGGGGATTTTCAGCCTCAAAAAATACCTGCGCAAATTACATAGGTGTGCAAATTACATGGGTTTTTACGGTATGTTGACCAAACTTGCCATATTTATGTATCTTGGAAAGGCAGAATCTCTCGCAGTGAAATCAGGTCTCGTGCTCCAGAGTTATGGCCCTTTGTTTATTTTTAATACCAAAGTTTGTCCACAGCAAAACTTCCATGTTGTTTCACCGACATTGACTAAACTTGCTTTAGTTATGTATCTTGGGAAGAGGAGTGTCGCATTCTAAATTCGTGTTTCATGACCCACTATATAAAGAGATATGGCCCTTTGTTAATTTTTTATACTGAAGTATATTTGTCGATTGGCTAATAAGGGGAGACATATGTTTTGTTCACAAAAACAAGTTTTTTAGTTTAAATTGTATTCACAGACTAGCTTGGATATACTATACGGCTATAGAGTATTTTTTTTTTATGTTGTATTGACAGATAAGGAAATAATGTATCACCACTGAATATAGTATGTATGCTGTATTTACAGACAAAGAAATAGTGTATGGCCACAGAGTATAGAGAGTGTATATTGTATTAAGATACAAGGAAATATCATATGGTCACTGTGTATCATTTGTGTATGTTGTATGTACGGACAAAAAAAAAACCTGATACTATATGGCCACAGTATAGAGAGGGTATGCTGTATTTACAGACAAGGAAATACTGTATGGCCACAGAGTATAATTTATTTGTGTTGTATTTACAGACAAGGAAATACTGTATGGCCACAGAGTATAATTTATTTATGTTGTATTTACAGACAAGGACATACTATATGGCCACAGAGTATAGAGAGTATATGTTGTATTTACAGACAAGGAAATACTGTATGGCCACAGACTATAGAGAGTGTATGCTGTATTTACAGACAAGGAAATACTGTATGGCCACAGAATATAGAGAGTATATGTTGTATTTACAGACAAGGACATACTGTATGGCCACAGACTATAGAGAGTGTATGCTGTATTTACAGACAAGGAAATACTGTATGGCCACTGACTATAGAGAGTGTATGCTGTATTTACAGACAAGGAAATACTGAATGGCCACAGAGTATAGAGAGTGTATGCTGTATTTACAGACAAGGAAATACTGTATGGCCACAGAGTATAGAGAGTATATGTTGTATTTACAGACAAGGAAATACTGTATGGCCACAGACTATAGAGAGTGTATGTTGTATTTACAGACAAGGAAATACCGTATGGCCACAGATTATAGAGAGTGTATGCTGTATTTACAGACAAGGAAATACTGTATGGCGTCAGAGTATAATTTATTTGTGTTGTATTTACAGACAAGGAAATACCGTATGGCCACAGATTATAGATAGTGTATGCTGTATTTACAGACAAGGAAATACTGTATGGCCACTGACTATAGAGAGTGTATGCTGTATTTACAGACAAGGAAATACTGTATGGCGTCAGAGTATAATTTATTTGTGTTGTATTTACAGACAAGGAAATACTGTATGGCCACAGAGATTACAATCAAGTCGTCTTAGATGTCAACAGAACACTAAAAAGGTTCCCTCCAGGTTGGTGTTGATTACTTAGCTGTCTTTGAGACTAATGTCTGCCAGAGTTTGTCACGATGACAGCAAAGAAGTGTATTCAAAATACAAGGAATTGGGACAGATATTGTTAATCACCTCCACCAACTGTCAACATTTTAGTCTCCTTTACAACAGTTTCCCCTTACCTATCAATAAATTCAGTAACATTTATTTTGGTACCCTGTAGTTTGTGAATACATATGGCCACTGAGTGTATATTGTATTTATATGTGCTTTTTGTACTTGTGTATCTTTTATTTAGGGATGAGTTCTGTCAGTCCGTACTTGAAGTTTTTGTTCTGTATTGCTTGTGGCCTGTGACTTGTATGTGATGTAAAATAAGTCATGTAAGTAAAGTGTTCTGGTCATGTTGTACTGGGCCTGTGTTATAATGTACATATTGTACTTGGCCTGTGTTATAATGTACATATTGTACTGGGCCTGTGTTATAATGTACATGTTGTACTGGGCCTGTGTTATAATGTACATGTTATATTGACTGTTAAAGCTGACCAATTGCAATTAGACTGCCACATCGGACATACCAATTACAGTCTTTCTCCTTCTCCTGTGCTACTTCTGTCTCTCTGTCCTTACTAGACGTCTCTGTGATATTTTGTAAGAAACAGATCCACAAAATACTTGGGACAAGTTCTCTCTTGAAGGGGGAGTATAAGTCACTTGGGTAAAATAATAACCACTTCCTACCAATGCAGCTAAGGATAATTTTCCTTCGGGTGCGACCCCTAGCGGAGGCATTGGAAAAATAATTACCTCTGGTACATATACCTAGAACAGAACGTTAACTTCAATGGAATACTCGTTAAAAACCATAGATGGTTATCACAAGGTTAAAAAATCTTCATATTTATTTTTATACATTATCAACACCACATGCAGGGCAAGCTATGATTGCTATGACCGTGATATATTTTTAGTAGGTGTAGTGGTCAGGGTGAATATTTGTTTCACTATTTGAATGTAATGATTTCAGACTTAAGAGATTTATACACCTTAATGACAGTTCCTTAAAGTGCTGTCCCCCTCAATTAGTCTGGTCTTCTTCTTACAGATCTAATACAATCCAAATTGTATTGTTTGTACTTTTATTTGGCGTTAAATAAACTGTTATGTTATCTGATACTGAACAACCTGTCTAGACAAGGAAGGTCCATGATATCATTCATGTAGATTCAAGGTCGTATCACACATCCAGAAATTGAGGTGAATATATATGAAGCTCATTATCAGGGTTTTATATCAAGTCTATAACTCCTACCTGTTAATAACTACCACCTGTCTATTACTACCACCTGTCTATAACTACCACCTGTCTATATCTACCACCTTGCTATAACTTCTGACTGTCAATTACCTGGTACTACCACCTGTCTGTTACAATCACCTGTCTATAACTACCACCTGTTTATAACTCCTGACCATCAATTACTACCACCTGTATGTTACTAACACCTGTCTTTAACTACCACCTGTATATTACTAACACCTGTCTATAACTAACACCTTTATGTTACTACCACCTGTCTATAACTAACACCTTTATGTTATACCACCTGTCTATAACCACCACCTGTATGTTACTAACACCTGTCTATAACCACCACCTGTATGTTACTACCCCCTGTCTATATCTACCAATGGTCTATAGCTATCATTTTTAGCTCACCTTAGCTTATGTGAGCTTATGGCATGGTGCGGCATCTGTCCGTCCGTCCGTCTGTCGTCCGTCCGGCATCAACTTTTTACTTTAAACAACTTCTTCTGAATAACAAAGAGTCCTAGGCTGATGATATTGGGCCTGTAGGATGCTGGGATGAAGGGCTACCAAGTTTGTTCAAACGAATGATCTTGACCCACTTTCAAGGTCACAGGGGTCAAATGTCTTAAAATCTTCAAGCGACTTCTTCTCAATAACCAAAAGGCCCAGGGTACTGATATTGGGCCTGTAGGATGCTGGGATGAAGGACTGCCTTGTTTGTTCAAATGAATGACCTTCACCAACTTTCAAAGTCACAGGGGTCAAATGTCTTAAAATCTTCAAACGACTTCTCCTCAATAACCAAAATGCTCAGGGTACTGAAATTGGGGATGTAGCATGCTGTGATGAAGGGCTACCAAGTTTGTTCAAATGAATGACCTTGACCCACTTTAAACCTAATTGCCTTTTTCGACATCCCACGTCACAGGAGTCATATGTTTAAATCTTTTAATAGGTTCTTATGAATCAAACACTGATATTCTGCCTGTAGCTGTATTTTAGTCCACTTTTAAGATTACAAGTGTGAGATTAATACCAGGTGAGCGATGCAGGCCCATTGGGCTTCTTGTTCAATAGCTACTTACCTAGCTGTCTATAACTATCAACTGTCTATTACTAAACTTCACCACCTATTTGTAACTCCTACCTGTTAAATAACACCACATGTTTATAACTATCACCTAACTATTACTACCACCTGTTAATAACTCTTACCTGTCTATAACTATCACCTGTCTATTACTACCACTTATCTGTACCTCCTACCTGTTAATTAATACCACATGTTTATAACTATTACCTGTCTATATCTACTAACTCTCTATAACTACCAGTTGTCTATAACTAGGACTTGTCTATAACTAGGGTGCAACAGTTTAAAAATAATACTAGTTGGATAACAGTGTGTGCTTATCTAAATCAAAACCATTTGACTGAGTTTTTGTGCCATGAACAGGTACCAGTTCCCCTTTGTTTTAATGGTGTCTTGATTCTAAACTGCTGAAAACAACTCACCTAGCCACAATGTGCCAAGTCAGTATAGCCAGCTGTCAGAACAATATTGAGACATTACATCCAACCAAAGACTCAGCTGGTGCCCCTCGTCTCTGTTTATTGATTCACATTCCCTCTTAATACAAATGGATTTTTTTTCCAGTTGTCCTTCTTTCAAGCACTTTGGAGTTGTTCCAGTCTTTGATGTGGCTGTGTTTGTAAACATGGTCTGAAATGGCTGATTTCTGACGTTTTCCTTGTGTTTCTAATGAAAACTTGCTGTTCCATGGCTTCGATCAATGTCTTTCTGATGTCTTCCTTGTATTTCTAGCGAAAAATTGCTGTTCCATGGCTTTGATCAAAGTCTTTCTGATGTTCTTTAAAACAATTGTCCCAAATTTCTGGCCAATTTTCTTAATCGTTACAACTTAGATATCTGCAGTTTTACTCAATAAACAATATATTAATGGAAAAACTTGCTCCGCTCTTTATTTCAAATCGAAGATTTAATTAATAGAAGATTCTTTTTGATGTCGTAATTATATTTTGACCGAAAAAAGTATTATGTCATCATACTCGTGATCATTCAATTTACAAAAAGAAACTTACAATGTATCATTTTCTGCTGCTTCGGAAATTAATGTCGTTGACAGCAAATTAATTTAAGCTTAAAAGTTAGATTTTAGGATGTCTTTCATCATTGTCTGAACTTTGAACATTTTAATAAGCTGTCAAATTAAATACAGCTTTAATTCACCAAAGCACAAACGATGTACTGTAAATGTTTATATTTTAGTGGTAGCCTTATTTCAGCACTTTTCACGCTTTAGATAATGTGATTAATTCTGACTGCACTAGTAGGAGTTCCTGTATATTGTTTTCTGTTGCATATTTTGTGGGCACGCCACTTCATTACAGCAATGTGCTAATCTGTTCAAATATGAAAAAGCACTAAAGTTTGAGTGCGTTTAATAAACAAGTACGCTTACAATATTATGAAGTTCTTGATTTAGGACACTGATCTTAACATGACAAGTGTTTGACTAGGCTGTGAGTAGTTATTACATGTTTCCTGGTCATGTTGTATCGCTCAGGTGTAAATAATCCCTTGTTACAAGTATTTATAACCATGTAAGTCCTACACCTAGCCTGGTGGTCCAGTTTATAGTAACCAGAGGTCAGATAAGGACAGTCTGCTGATAGTATAACCTTGAGCTTGTTATCTGTCCATGTGTTACACAACAAGGGAAATAGTTAGTGAGCATATAGATTTTGGAACATTTCCAAACAGTACTCAAGTCAAATGTTAACGTATCTACTTAAGGATCCCTGTACCACTGTGAAAATGTAACAGGGCATTGACAACTGTTTTTTCAAGCATGACTACAGCTTTCATAAATTATTTCTGAAACAAAAGGCCATTATTGTGTGACATAAATGAAAAAAATAAAGATTGAATAAGTCAAACACTATCAACAAAAAGTGTTCTGAGCGTAAAAGTTCAGCATCTAGACCAGGATTTCAACCCATTGACTTCAAATTGTTGTACATGTCACTCTAACCAATTGAGCTACCTGGTCAACAAAAGTGTCCTGGCAAAACTGTGCTACTGTTATATCCAAAACAAACTGAAGGGAAGTTACTGTGTGTACGAAAAACCACAGTGTAGTGTGACAGGGATCCTTAATGTGACTATGATTTTGAATGTGAAGTTGGCCTTTGTAAATCATAATAACAAATGACATTGTTATATTACCCCGGTACTGGTTTTTAGCTTACTCTATGCAATATCAATATTATCATGATTATCAAAGCAAATGTGTGATCATTTGCAAACACTTTAAACCTCTCTACTCTACAGATATTTGTCTTATACCTGAATATTAGGCAATAATTGACTTACTAGATCATTTTGAAGCCAACTAAATTACATGTTTGCAAATGATATGAGCGTTCAATTGATACATTTTCAACTTTTTATGCGCCCGTCGAATGACGGGACGTATTATGTTTTCACGCGGGCGGGCGGGCGGGCGGGCGGGCGGGCACACGTTAGTTTCCGCTCAATAACTTGAGTATTGGATTCATTTTAAACTTGGTAGGAAGGTTCATTGCCATGAAAGCTTGCACAAGTTCGATAACCATTATCTGCCTGTTATGAAGGGAGTTATGGCCCTTTGTAGAATTGCCGAAACAGTTTCCGCTCAATAATTTGAGAAATTTTGAATGAATTCATTTCAAACTTAAGCCATAATTTACGGACTTACGGCCTTTTGAAGAATTGTTGGAACATTGTAGAATTGTCGGAACACAATTTCTGCGCAATAACTTTATGCACTTATGGCCCTTTGTGTCAAACTGCTCATTCGACATCTGACGGGGGGAACTCTTGTTTATAAAGGGATCATTTGTTCAAAGTGACTTATGCTCCAACTTAAACCATTTGAAATACTTCAGTACTCTCAGCTGCTGGTCATTGGTTGCCATGGGAATATTAAAATCGGTCAACATGATCTATTGACAAATAAGTAACTGATATTGAAACATTACCAGGTAATTCAAGTAAGTTTTACATAATAAAGTTATCTTAACCTGTTGCAAATAGTGATGTAAAAGTACTGTTATTATTTATGATGAAGCATAAAATTTGTGGATCTTTTAAAACTATGGAAGACCTTAATCAGGCCTATAGCTACAATGTAGAACCATTTCATATTGCCTGTCATTTGCTTGGGCGAAAGGCCTTAAATTATGATCAAATGAATTTCTTTGTTTTTCTTTGAAGGTCACAGGGGTTATAAATATGTTATCAACTTTTAAAAAACATTCTACTGAACAATTACAATATTTGGTCTGTAGCTTGCTGAGCTAAAAGCTATGTATTTTGTTGAAATAAATTACTGGTACCTTGACATATACAGTGAAAGTCACATTGATCAAGTATGTCAAACACTTTCAAAAACATCTTTTAACGAACTACAAAGCCTACCTGAAGTCATAAAATTTGAGATGTTGCCTACTATTAAAATAATGACCCTATGGTCTGCATTCTTCAAGATCGAATTCACAAAGATCAAATGAATTACAAATCAACCAGATCTTCTAAGAACCATGAAGGCTTTATTAAAGCTAAAGATATTAAAATATCTTGCTTTTCACTTCATGACACCCATATACCAATGTCATACATCTTTTCCAAATATTTATATAAATATTTGTTAAGTTTGGTGATCATTGATGGCTGACCTTGATTTAAGTATTCTGTTGTTCAGAGCTCCCTTGATTGTGTATGGTCGGTATTGCTGACAACTGGCTTCTTTCGACCTTGAATTGACGGTTAGTCTAGACAGTTCAGAATACTGGTTACCGACATCTGTATAGAGTACATGCACCAGTACTTTTCTGCTTTCAAGGCCACTCAGTCATTTATAACTTTATCTACAGTGTGGGTATTTCTATGTCTATATTTACATGCACAGTATAATTTTAAAACTTACAGTTGGCGATCTCTGGCTATGTACTTGCTGTGGTTAGTTGTGTGAGACCTGACCATATTTTAACAGCAGCTAGTGAGCTAGTATGAGGAAGTTTTATATTATTCAATAGCAGTGTAATTAATGGCATGGGTGGGAGCAGGGATTGATAGTGTTTGAATAGCATTGCAATGGTATGGGGGAAGAGATTACAGTATTTGAATGAATGGCAGTGTGATGGTACGGAGGGGGGATGAGAGGGGTTGCAGTATTTGAATAACTAACTGTGCAATAGTTTAGGGGGTGGGAAGGGTTGTTGCAGTATTTGAATAAGAGTGCGATGGTGTGAAGGGAGGGAGGGATGTGTTATTGTTTTTGAATGGAAGTGTCCATATAGTGAGGGGATGGTGTTACAATATTTGAATGGCAGTGTGATGATAGAGTAGGTGGAAGGAGGTTACATTGTTTGAATAACAGTGCAACATTTGTGGGGGG